AAAAAAAAAAAAAAAAAAATGCTTGTGTTTTTAACGTTTTGCATGTGTTTTCTTGTGTTTGTTATTAGTCGAGTATTTAATCATCCAGTGTGAAAATTAGATATTTGGTATAATTTTAATATAATGTATGTATTGTAGTTTCGTAGATTTCATTTTATTTAGCTGATTTGATTCAGCTAATATAGGTATTTGCTAGTCTTTAATTAATAATTATCTTATTTATAATCTATCATTATATAAAAAGAATAATTTTTTTATAAATTTAGAAAATTTTTTTGCCATAATCATTAAATATATCCTATATATAGTATTTGTTTGACAATTTTGAAAAGGCACAAATACTGGCTCTTTAATTGTATTGTTTCCTTAATTCTAGCTTGCGACAATAAATTCGCTTGCAAAAATAAATCTGATAGGCTTTTGGCCTAAACTTTCCCACAAAAAAATCAGAATTTTTGTTTTTTTGGAATTTTTGTTTTTTTTATTTTTATCAGAATCGGAACAATGTAATCTTACAGAATCTCATCACATAAATATTGGCTTTTGGTTCATACACTATATCGGACGGTACAAAAAATCTCATTAATGTATACCGGCCTAAAAGATATCATAGTAATCTATTAATATATAATAAGAATTAACTTAATTCACTTTTAGTAATTTATTCCCGCCAAAAACATTAATTATTGCCTAAAAATAGCTAGCATTAATTGCAATACATAATATGAAAGAAATCATAAAAATATTCTATGCAAAAATAATATAGAGATGACAATTAATGTAAATTGAAAGCTAAATAAAAATTACCATATATAAAAAAATAATCTATGTCTATATCTATATAAAAAGATTTACCATTTTTAAAAAATGATAGGTCAACCCTTTGGTCAATTCAGACATCATTAATTAGTTTTCTTTAATGACAATCTTTTTTTTTTAATTACTTAATAATTGACGGAGGCCCATTTTTTTTGGGAAAAAATTGATTTTTTTTTTTTTTAAATTACTTAATACTTTACGAAAAAAACGGCATAATATAATATTATAACACATATCACGATAACGTAAAATTTTGTACGTGTAAGTAAATAACAATTCTAATTGTTTTAAAAAAAATCTTTTATTTTTTACTAACGGATCATGTCCGCTGGCTATTAACAAATTACAATACTATTGAGAGCTGATTATATTTTGCGCCCCGGTATTGATCTCCAGTGATAGCATGGTGGAATTTTCTTGATTTGGAGAGCTGATCATATTGTGTACTATGGATATGATAAAATAATAAAATTCCAATAAATATAAATTTTTAGATAGGATTTAAAAAAACAAATAATCTCTTATATGAAAGGATTTACTATTCAAAATACACATTATCCAGACTTAATTTTCAAATAAAAAAATGCATTAATTGTCAATGACTGAGTAAACAACCCGCAGATTAAGCTAACGAAATAATTAGTTCGGATTTTACGCAATTTAAAATTTATCATTTATCAACTAAAACTGCACAAAAATTTCCTTTATTGGACAAAGGTTGCCGAAATAAGAACACACAAAATAAAAATGACAAGTGCAAATTGCATGAATATTATTGTAAAAGATATTTGCCATTTTAATATTTTTTTTCAATCATACCAATAATTGCACGAATATTACTGCTAAAAATACATATTTAATATTTTGGTTTCAAACACATCAAATAATTTTGTAGTAATATTTAAAATTTATATGGAGCTAATTTAAAATTATTATCTAAGTTCCAACGGCAGCCGTTCCTTCGGATCCTATGGTTCTATTTAAGAGTCAGGGTCGTATCGTGTATTGACATGTTCATAAAGAAATCGATTTTAGTCACGATCAATTATGTTGTTGTTTTACGTGTTAGTAATAGATAAATAAGAGTCAGGGTTAGTCTTTATCATGCGTTGACATGTTCTTAAATAAATTAGTTTTTAGTCACGACCAATTATATGTTGTTATTTCGCGTGTAAGTAATAGATAAGTGGTTGAAAATATTAATTTGTCGGGATGACGAGTTGCTTTGTTATCAAACAAATAATGTTGTGTACAATTAAGTTTTTAATAATATATTATTTTTTTCATGAGGAACATTATATTATTTGATATTTCTCTACAAATTATCACTATTTTTTTTATTAATACACTTCAATTGTATAATATTCTTTAAAATAAATACAGTCCGTGCATAGCACGGGGTACATACTAGTCTTACAGAATAAGGTAGATTTAAAAAATCTTATCTCTTATGTATCTACTCTAACATATTTTTTTAAAAAATTATCGTAACAGTTTTTCTTTTCTTAAAAAAAAAGTTAATTCACTCTAAGTGTAAATATCTCATCTCTTATGTATCTACTCTAACATATTTTTTAAAAAGATTATCGTAACATATTTTTTTTGTTCTTAAAAAAGTTAATTCACTGTAAAGTGCAATTGCTAATATAAATCTTGACTTCAAGTCAATTTTTTTTAAAGGTTATTTTTCACCTATCCAAATACTAATATTTTTTTCAAATATTATTAACATTTATAATATTGGAGATATTTCAAACATTATTTGGACAAATATATATATTTGTGTGTGTGTGTGTGTGTGTGTGGAGGTTATATATACATATATGGAGGTTAAATTTAAGTATTTTTAGACATGGTTTCCTTAAAAAATAGTTTAGAGAGTGGCTTCAAACATGTTTCAAGGATAATATAGAATATTTTATATACTTTTTATACATGTAATATAATATATATATATATATATATATGTATATATATATTACGAGAATAAGATTTATCACATATTTCTCCTCCGAAAATATTAAATACACATAATATAATGTTAATAGAAAAAATGTAGATTTAAATATTGTCTTCAATTTTTATCTTATTATCACTTATATATAGATTCTATTTTATTTGTTTCATTTTACATTAATCTCGATCTGTATTTGTAAAAGTAATAAATCAGCATAAAGCGTGGAATTGTTATGCGTACAAAATTTCTTTTTAACGGTTACAACTTATAATAAAATAATAAGAAATACCATCATAATTCTCGGTATCATGTCATTATTTATTTTATATATAAGTGGTAAATTTTCTCTAAAAAAATTAATAATGTTATTATTTAGGCTTATGATATTTTAGATACTTTTATATAATATCTTATCATGTAATATTATATCTATATATACATATACACGTATATATACATATTAAATTTAAACATTTTTAAACATATTTTCTTTACAACAGAGTTTAAAAAACATCTTTCATACAAATGTAAAATTTAAATATTTTGAAACATGTTTTTCTTTCCAAAAATAGTTTAAAAAAATTGTAGGTGACTTTACATCTTTTATAATAATACATAAACTCTTACATACTTTTACATGTTTTTAATATTTTAAATATGCAAACTTTATGTTCTCTTATACAAGTCAATTTTATATTGCTGATAATAAACTAATATACGGCGGTAAATTATATCACATGTTAACTTTACATATTTAATTTATAATATTTATTTTGCTCTTTTAAAATAGAATAATAGTTCTCCACCAATCAAATGTCTTTTATAATAATATTATTATTTAATACTCCCTCATATTTTTTTTAAATGTCATTCTAGCATTTTCAACTATTTGCCAAATAAATGTCGTTTTAGATCTTTTGTACATATTTTTCCATTATTACCCTCATTTAGCCAATAAATGCATTACGTCTTTTCATATTCACTCTTCACTTGATTCTCAAAACATTCATCTCTATCTTTACTAAATTAAATAAGGTTATTATTGACAAAAAAAGTTATTCTTTATTAGTGTGCAACTTCTCAAAACAACATATATTAAAAATAGGAGGTAATATTATTTACTGTACATCGAGACTACTCACTAATATATCTATACTTTTCGGTAAAAATATATAATATTTAATTGTGCTAAAAAAATGTAATTATTCGAAAGATAATTACGTGGAAAAAATATATAATTTTTAATTATGCTAAAAAAATATAATTATTCGAAAGATAATTACGTGGCGCTCTGGGGTTGCAGTGCGGGACCACAAATTCTCTCTATTGAGTGTTGACAAACACCGTCCCCTATAAAAAATAAATATCACATAAAAATAGGATTTTGGTAAAAGGAAAATACCACACACAAAAAAAAAAAACAACAACAAAATCAGCCGACGATTACGCTGGGCCGGCGGCGCCTTATTTCCGGCAACTATCACACTCTCCGCGTACTGCTAACGCTCTCGATGTTCAATATTTCGAGAAAATCCTTAATTTCGATCTAATTTCTAGACCGTGCGCTTCGATCTGATGTTTCTCTTTGGCTAGAGGCGTAATCCACTGTTCAGGTGAAGCAGATGTCGGAATCCCACGACGCGCCGTCGGCGGATGTAGCTGCCAAGCCTATTCCGGACAAGACGCCGGAAGATTCCACCGGAAAGTGTCTGCTGGACAGGCCGCTCCACCAGCTCACCGAGGACGACATTGCTCAGCTCACTCGCGAAGACTGCCGCCGCTATCTCATGGAGAAAGGTTAGGCGCAGAACAAATAAAGTTCTAACCTGAGAGAAAAAGATGGCAGCAAAAGGGTGAAGAAATTAAGCGCAAGTCTCACTTTTTCTTTCTCTTCTTGGTTCGATTTTATGATTTTGGGCGCAGGGATGAGGAGACCTTCGTGGAACAAATCGCAGGCCATTCAGCAAGTGATAATGCTGAAGAAGCTTCTAGAAGCTGATCCTGAAGCTGGTTCGGTTAAGGGCCCTAATCATACCGGCCATGGCAGCAGCTACGCTGTTAAAGAGAGTGTGCCTAGTTTTGTATGTTGTTCTTCCTATTTTTTTGTTCGTTACTTATCTTCGTTTTCGGCTCACGTTGAAGGAGTGAAAAAAATATAAGGAAACTGTTTGGAGAAATATATAATAATTGTCGCCCCCATGTTCTGTGCCTTGAGTTTAGTGATGATGTTTAAAATCTGTTATGTTACTGATTAAGCAGTTTTATTAGTTTAATAATATAAATGCAGGCTCCTAAAGGTAAATGCAGGGATGAACAAATTTCTGTAGCCTCAAAGGGAAAGACACCGCATCATATAGCCGATCTGAACAAACCTGACCGGTCGGAGGGTTTTTCAGGCACTTTTGCAGCCGCCAAGGATGAATCTTCTCGGCCAAGGTTGTTTGCTAGCTTTCATTCTTTGAGTTGCTCTTGCAAACGAACAATTGTCGATCTTTGCCATTTTTGGAAGCGAGAATTGAACCTTTCTCCATTTACCACTGCTTCGAGTACTTTTTTTGTGTCTCGGGAAATTTCGAAATTGTTTCCTCGTATTAACTCTCTTTAATGTGTATTTATGTGAGTGTGTGGGTGTGTGTGTTGAAATTCTTAACCAATGTTCTTATTCAGTATGTGTTGCATATAATAGCTTTCAATGCATATAACAGCATTACATGAAGATTGTTCCTAGAATGAAGGTTTTTTGTTCTTTCTTCCAGAATCGTATGTACAACAGATATTGGAGCTGGGCAAATGACGATATTCTATGGCGGGAAAGTGAATGTATACGATGATATCCCCGCAGATAAGGTATTGAATCTTTAATCCACTGTGTATTTTGAATTCTGTTGCTTCTTGCTAGCTTTTATGAGCTATATTAATCTCATTTTTTTTTCTTAGGCACGTGCGATAATGCACATTGCCGCAAGTCCGCTAGATTTTCAAGAGGAGCAGCTTACTGATGCTAAAATACTGCAACCTTTACCTGTTCTCCCGAAGCCTCACAGCACGAAAATGCGCCAGACTTCTGCTGATGTTAGCTTTTCACATTTCCAAATAGGTGATGCTAACTTTTAACTCTCCATTATTTCTCAACAGTCTTTCTAATTTTTCTCACGCTCGTGTAAGAACTATTATACTTGATCTCTCTCTCTCTCTCTCTCTCTCTCTCTCTCTCTCTCTCTCTCGTGTCTGTGCACACGTTTTTCGGTGTTTTTCGTCCACTGCAAAAATTGTTCTCTAATATCTACGTTGTAATGTCAAATGGATTTTGTGAAATTTCTTTTGCAGCGAACATGAAGGACAACTCACCAATGCATGGAGAAGATAATATGATGCTTCTTGAAGGGACCCCTGGTAAGCATATTTGTGTTGGACTCTTCTTCTGTTAACCGGAAATCTTTTCGGGGTTACTTATACGATAGCCTATACTTGGATTTTGGTAGGGAACTCCAGCACGAACCACTGCATTGTTTTTTTTTTTTTTTTTAAAGGATCATAGGAATTTAAAGGTGGACAACACTACAGAATTCCTTGTGATGTTAACTAAATCATTCTTGCGGTTGACACATAAATTCCAAATTTTTTTATTAAATGAAATCTATAAATATGAACCATAAGCATCCTGTTGAAAATTTCATTCTTATATATATTTTGTCCTTTTTTGAATCAGTGGAAGGTCCTTCCGGGCGAAAAGCATCAGTACAGAGATATCTCGAGAAGAAGAAAGACAGGTATCTTTAATGGATTAAGATTTGAAGAAACCGAAAAACGCGTATTTTTCTTGTTCGGGATCCTCATATCTTTGTTAGGTGAAGGTTCAAGAGCAAGAGAAAGGGAGGATTTACCTCATGTGCCAGCTTGGATATGTACTTTAATCATCAAGTGTGTAATCAAATACCGACAATTGACAGTTCACTGGAGAGTGATTCACTGCAAAACGCTTGTATTTCCACTGGTCTGAGTAACAAAGGTGAGATCTTTACCTTAAGGCTTCTTTTTTATTTTACTAGCCAATGTCTTGAAGTAAAGGCATATTTAACTTTTCTTCTTTGTCTTTTGTTTCGTTTACCAGGTTTACAGGTGGACTCGACCTGAAAAGTTCTGACTAGGTCCAGCCTCGTTTCTTCCTCAACTTCAGGATGTGAATTACTCGTACGTTAATTCATTTTCGTGAGTTCCTTATTGGTATTGTGTTTAATGTTGTTTGGTTTTAGCAGTTGTTTGGTTTCTAGTGGAAAAAATTTAGCCTCGAGGTTTTTTCAGCCGATATTTGAAAATTTTCTAGGGTACAAACTACGATCTTGTTTAGCGAGTTCCTTATTGGTATTGTGTTTAATGTTGTTTTATATGTGAATCATACTCATAAATGATGAATTCAAGATGATCCTATGTACTAAGGTTGAGATGCTAAGATATAAGGTTTGAGGCTTTCTTTGTTTGTACAAATGACCCTAAATGCACCGAGAATTATATGTTCGGACGAGGACTTGGAGACCTTGTTGCGTATTATTATCTCACATACAGTCTATGTAGCCAATACCTAATCTGCAATATTGTACATAAGACGCGGTCATCTTGGAAATCCCTATCAGTTAAGTGGCAAAATTGCAACATTTGGTGGAGTTATTCAGAGCGTTTCGCGGTGTATGTTTACATACGATGATACGAATGATCATTCTTAGTAAGTTTTTTGGGTTCTTTTTTAAGCATCACTATATCTAACAACAAAGCTTATATTAACAAAGAAAGTCCAAAAAGTATACAAACCCAATAGAGAAAGCAAAAGAGAAGAAGAAAAAAAATAAGATAAAATACAGTTCTTTTTTCCCTAGCAAACTACTACCAAACCTACACAAGCTACAAAGGTCTCCCTCAACTGTCAAGAATAAATTTTTCACCACAATTTGACTTTCCATTTATGACCAAATTCTAGCTAATTTCTCTTTACTTTCTCTTCACCTCTTTCTCTAATTTCAATGGGTTTCTCCGCTCTCAAGGCTCGTGTGTGTTGACTCGGCTATGAAGTTCTAACATCTCTTGGTGGTTAGGGTCTACCGAGAGTGCGGTTCGACAGTCTCTTAAGGCCCCCATGACATCACCAATGTGCTCATGGAATGCGGCTCGTAAGTGGAGAAGATGAAGATCCGCCTTGAATGCTATAGCCCTCGAAAGCTCAGCAATCGCTTCTTTCTCCTTGTGGTTATCCATCAAAACTGCACGTAAAAAGAGAATGTTTTAGCAGATATTTTCAATACACTAACGTAAAGTCGTATTTTTACGAAAAAGGCATCTGCAAATTTTGAAGGAAGTTCGGTTAAAATCTACTCGTTGAGAGCAACTCGAGTCGAGCATTAAAAAAAAGGGTAAATTTTTGGATTCTACACTTTCAATTTTTCACAATTATACAAATAATCTTGAGCTTCATTGAGGGGCCATATCCTGAAAAGAGAATTGCCATTGTCGTCACACAAAAAAACGAGCATTGGCATTATCGAGCAAGATTAATTTTGTTTTTACCTGCTCGAGCTCGAGGAGCTCGATTTATGACGCTAGAGATTGACTCGACAAAAGAAGGTAGTCACTCGAGCTCGGCTCGAGATCGATTGAAATCAAAATGATCGAAAGATTTTGCTCAAGCTTGACTTCAGTTCGATTCAATTTCAAGTAAAATTACCATTAATTACATATATACAATATTGTAATATTTATATATAATGGATATTTAGTAATTTACTACATATCTCGAGTTGCTCCCTTATAAAAAACCTATGCTCGAGATTGACTCGATAACATGCTCAAGCCGCTCGAGCCTAGCTTTAACTCGAGCGCTCGCAAGCCGCTCGGTTCATTTGTAGCTCTACTTATTAGTAGTGTGTACCCATCCCATTTATTAAACATTAAATCCATGAACAAAGGACCAATTAACTTCATCTAATCCTAACAAGTGTTCTCATATATATATATATATATATATATATATATATATATACAAAATCTAGCAGGCTAAAACAAAACACAAAGGCAAACAAGCAATAGTTCAAATAAAAAATTCATAACAAATGCAAGGCGAAACTGACCTGCAGCTCGGTATCTATAAGGGTAAACCCGAAGAGGATCGAGAGAAGTGACTTTTTCGAGATCTGCCTTTGTGAGCTCACGCTCACAATACTCTGACCGCTTCTCGTAAGCAGATGCATTATTCCTTGCTTTCTCGATCAGTTTAGTCATCTCATTATAGGCTGCGTTTTTATCATTTCTCAAAAAGTGGACACGGGCAAGGCCTTGGTGGGCCCGCGTGTGCCGGATTTTGAGGGCATTTATGTAGCAATCGGCTGCAGCATCGATCTTTCCACAATCGACATAGACACTTCCAAGATTGTTCAGAGCCTAGCGTTTCGAAAGTAGAAACCAGTTTAAAAAAAATAAATAAATAATAATTTAAAGAAATTATCGTTCAAAAGCAAGATAACAGCAGTTTAGGAAGAAAGCACGGGGTGAGTGACTAATTTTACTAATTAAAGCAGTATTTATGGCTGCTTGCTGCCAAATTTGAACTGCAGGCTAATAATAATATGATTAACTTTACAGAAAATACCAGTAAGGTTCATTTATAACTTGAAAGATAGGGTAATTTTTGTAATTAACCCCCTTCATACAAGAAAGTTTCAGTAAATCTCAGTTGCAACCACAATTAAAACATTTCTAAAAAAACCTCTCATGAAATGCACTTCCCATACCAAAAAATCCTCAGTACAAAAAAAAAATATTAAAAAAAAAAAAAAAATCAGCCATGCATGAAATAAACTGTACCTGGCCTTTGCGAAGTCTATCCGAAGGGCACTTCAAAGCTTCTTCAAGAAGCGAAACTACAGCTGACGAACAAGATGGGTCCTGACTGGAGTCAGCTAAAGCATATGCTTTCAAGAAAAATGCTTCAAAGGATCTATGGAGACTAATGGACTCCTCAGCTTTCTGTAGCCCTTCTTCACAATAACCGCTATCGTATAAAATCCACCCCTCGTAAACTAATCTTTCGGCTTCGCTCAACGCATGCTGGCGAGCCAGCTGTAAACTCCTCATTGCAGCTTCAGGACAGTTGAGTCTGATAACACGACAAAGACACGACACATTTCAGTTTGAATTTTTATTAAATATTGATTTTTTTTTTCCATTATGGTTTTAAATAATACACCACTTATTATTACACCTATTTCAGAAATAGTTTTAACAAAAATTCAGCATGACTTCTAGTAATAAATGTTTTTAACCCCAAGTTGTTTCCCTACAAACATAACAATCACAGAAAGAACGAAAAATAAGAAGGAAAAAGCAAAAAGATAACAACTTGTCTGACAATACCTGAGAAGAAGCAGCGATTGTCTGAAAAACAGAACACCTTTAGCCGAATCCGACTCGAGCATTTGATATATAACAGATAACGACCCGAGATCATCCACCGAAGACCACTTATCATATAACTGCAGCCAGCAATCGGCTGTTGTCCAATTCTCCACATGCTCCCGAACGAGCACCCGAAGCTGAGATGCCCCGACCCGCCCGTCAAACATCCTATAACCTGGGCACAACGTTAAAATCACCTGAAGGTCACACAAAGCCGATTTATAATCCTCGATCGCAAGGTAGAAACAAAAACGAAGCTCCAAGCACTCCAAGGCCAGCTTAAAACCGAGCACCCGGTTGATCTCATCAAGCGCAGACTGCACGTCTTGCTTCCTTATCAAGTACGCAGCTCGATACATATAAGGGTAGGTCAGTGTCGGGTCGAGCTCAGTAGCCCGTTTAAGCTCCTCCAATCTTTTCGCCTCGCCATCGCAGTACAAAGATCGCTCCTCATGCATCCACCCGAGCGGCGGCGGGCCGTGAGAGGATAATAAAACGGAGGTGATTTTATCGTAGGCCCATTCTTCTTTACGGGGCCCTTTCTTGATAATGCAGCCGATACGGACCAGGCCCGTAACAGAATAGACGTGCCCTTCTGATAAGGCCGCCTCAAATAGCTTCTCGGCCTCTAAATATTCTTTTCTCATTAGCCGAACACAACCGAGCTTGTGGAATGCGATCATTTTCTGCTGGCTAGTCACAGCACAGTTCATCACCAGTTGGTTCAAGAAAAGAAGTGACGCGTTGGAGGACGGGTTTAAATCCATGGCAACTTCGGAGAGTAGAGAATAGAGAGAGAACGATGCGGGCCCGGGACCCACCATGATCGATATCTGCTGCCTGTCGAGTCCAGTTAAAAGCTCAACCACACGCTCGTTTTGCAGCGAGACGGGGAGTTCGTCGAGGAATGCCTTCAGACAGGTGACAGCTAGGACAGGGGAGTTTTGCTCGAGTGCGAACTCCATCAGTTCGATCGCGTCTGAACAGGAAGACACTAAAGAAGCTAGCTTTTTGTCGCAGGCATCTTTTAGACCTTCACAGCAGAACCTGTTTGCAAATACTAATATCTCTAATAAAAGACCGTGCGCCACATCAGCATTCAAACTTCCCGTTACGGAATAGTCACTTATCGTTCTCATTCCTAAAGGAGAAATCTTGTTTTCCGAGAGATCGATAACATCAGTGAAAGATTCGGCGAAACAGCCATTGAGTAGCATCGCATGAAACGGAGCCGAGAGCGCAGCTATCGCACTCCTTTCGCAGGTTACCATCTCATTGCCGATTCGTAAAGAAACGAGAGGAGGGGCAAGGGCATCATTTGTCGGGGTCATGGAAGTTCGGGTAAAAGGGAATTCAGAAGCAATGTCTATGGCCGCAAACTCATTTGCGCATTTTCCTCCGCAGGAAGATAGCAATTCAGATATGATCTCTTCCCCTTGCTTCTCGTATTTCAGCCATGCCCCAAAAACGAGCTTTTCATAAACAGTGCTCGATTTGAGCCAGGCCGAGCGGAGGCTCCTTCGCATCAGCTTGCACTCACGAAGGCCTTTGAAGACTTGATACTGTAACAAATAAAGGCTCGATTTATCGGCTGGGGGGCAAGTTTCGAGCTCTTCGTGAATTTGGGCCAAGACTTTGACATAGTCGACAGGTTTGTAGAGCGGGAGAATCGGGGGATCGGGGACCTTGATGAGGGATTCACTGTGAAACAATGATAGAGTCTTGTTAATCAACGGGCCCATTTAGAAAAACAAAAAAAAAAACAAAAAGATAATTAGTAGAGAGGCTGGCTGCATACATTGAAGATGGAGAGTGTGGTGAAAGTTTGGTGCGTTTGCCTCTTTCAACTTGGAGCCATGACTGAGGATTGATGGAGTTTAATAGTGGTTCTTTACAAGCATTATCCGAAGGAAAACGCATACCCATGGAACAAAGGAGATGAAAAAGGTCCCAGATCTCCACAATAGCAAAGATGTAATCTTTCCTCAAATTTTAGGAAGATTAAAACAAATTACAAAAATGGAAAAAAAAAAAAAAAAAAAAAAAAAAAAAAAAAAAAAAAAATTGAAGAGAAAAAAAAGAGAACTTCAATGGCAGAACACCATTCTTCAAATCTGGAGAGCTCCCCCCACCCACCCACCCACCAAAATCAAATCTTTTATTAAACACAATTCGATTAAACACAACTGTACAAAATCTGGGCTTTGCTTTTCTACAATGAGAATCAACAGTAATTTCTCAACACACAATGATACATTTTAAATAAAAAATAAAATAAAATAAAATAAAATAAGAACCCTTTATCTTCAGAAACTCGGCATAAATAGAAGACTCTTCGACCTTAAAAGTACCTAAAATGCCTAAAATTCAGTGACCTTACGTAAGATCTCTACCTGAAATGTAATCAGAAACCACATTAAACACAACAAATCTCCTAACAATGAAAATATAAACAACCAACTAACCAGAACAGAAAAATAAACAAAAAATGAGCAGCTAAAGCAAAATAAAAAAATAAATAAATAAATAAAAAAACACGGGGTCACTGGCGTTTTAGGTCTCGATCTCAATTTTTCTTCTTTTTTTTTTAAAATGGAGAAACTAGTAATGGCGAACTGGGCAGCAGCGTCTGTATCAAAGAGATGTAGTGGAATACAAAGGGGAAAAAGAATACTTACACAACAGTATTTCGCACTTTTCTTCGTTTTTGGGTAAAAGAAAAAAAAAGGTTTCACTTTTCCTTTCTCTCTCTCAAATTTTCAATTGTTCGGAAAAATCTCCACTTAATTTATATCCGTTGGGCATATGGATGTAAATGGGTCGGGTGGGATACTGACAAACTCGAACGTGACCGGTATGTAATTTACCTACCCAAACCTGACCCGTTACTTGGTTAGTGGTCTTCGGGTATGGGTTGGGTTTTATCCGGCGGTTTAGTGGGTTTTTGTCGGGTAAACGGGTAACCCGAGTTCTTAAATTCGGGCTTTACCCGATCCATCTCGTTTCATATTAAAAATAAAAGAATTTCACAATTAATTATAATATAACACATAATTTATTAACTAAGTTCGACAATAAAAAACTACAAAAAAAATATTTTATTTTTGGAATAAATAATGAGATATAATTATTTATCTTGTATAGTCAATTTAAGAATATTATATTTAAAAATTAAGTATTAATTTTTTATTGTACAATTAACAAAAATTGATTATAAAAACATAAGAAATAAAATAAAATTTAAACATTAATCAAACTTATAATAAATAAATTATTTTTTAATAATAATAACACATTACGACTTTTATATTTATAATAAGTTATAAATACATATATATATATATATATATAAGATTCAACGGTTGCGGGTAAAAGGGGTATGGTAATCGGGTTGTGTAATGGGTTTTTCTATTATACCCGCACCCAACCCGATCTGGGGTTCGGTAGCATAATTCTACCCGAATCCCGACCATCTCGGGTTTACCCGACCCGAAAATGCGGGTAACCCGACTTTACGGGTTTTATTGACATCCCTAGTTGGGCAGTGGGAAAAATTAAAATTACAGATGACAAAATGAACAGATATAACTTGGAAGATCAAGAAGAAGAAGAAGAAGAAGAAGAAGAAGAAGAAGAAGAAGAAAAATAATAATAATAATAATAATAATAATAATTGATTCGATACTTATAGTGCGGTCCCACCAGGTAAAGTAAACTTATCGCATGTCCTAAGACAGATCCGCTCTGATACCATATTAGAACTGGAGGAAGAGGGTATGATCCCACTGGATAAAGCGCACCACAAGAAGGTAAGGCTATGTGCACATTAATGAGGTTCAATCACAAAACCAATTGGTGATTGGAGGAGTAGCTCACTAGATTTATAAACTAGGTTCATTTACCCTATCCAATCAATGTGGGACAACTCACAGTGATATTCTAACAATACTCAACGCATATATATTTTTCTTTTCGGTTTTTGGTTTTCTCAGTCGGATTGAAATTTTCAGATCAAAAGACACCAAATAAAAATAAAATTAGGAAGAAGAAGTAGACTACTATAAATTTTATAGATAATATATATATAAAATTATGTAAAAATAAATTTTATAATAAGATAATAATTGATTATTATATGATGAACAAAAATCAGTAATACTGTTATTTTTTTTATATTATTGAATAAATATAAGTTTTAAAACTAAGTTTATTTTAGTATACCTTGTTAACGGAGTAATATACTTATTAACATATTAATGTTCTGACTAAAATAAACATCACTTATTAAAAGATATGAAAAATGAATTATTCGACCATATTATTTTTTGTGCCTAAACTGACAAGCCCTATAAAAATGACTCATTTAATATATGTGTCTCGTGCATCGCACGGGCTATGTACTAATTCGTAAAGTACCAAAGACAAATCAAGATTGTAGTCAAATAAATCTCTCAAATATGTGCTCCCTTCGAGGCTTCAAATTCAATAGCTCTCAATTTCAAATAAATCAATATATGACGAAGTTATGTCAATATAAAACAAAAAATGATGATGCACATTAAAAAAATGATGATGCACATTAAAATGATGATGTCAATATAAGAGGACGCCGATACAAAATTTTTTAAAAAATCAAAATATTTTTAACTCAAACCCAATATTATTAATATTATCAATATAATTAAATAATATCAATTAATCATTCTAACACATCATATCAACTTTAATTTATTATTCATTCACTCACATAGTTTTATCTAATCATCACTTCACATTATCTTTTTTCTATTTTTACATCAAATCAACTTTATTTATTTTTATTTTAAATATTATTTTAATATACTCATTAACAACTAACCATACCACTTTTTTTTTTCAAAATTAACTAAACCAAATCAAAAAAACCAAAGAAAACAAAAAATGCTTATATCAGACTACCACAAGATATCCATTTGATTGGTATAAATCGAATGGCAATAACAAAAAATGCTTATATCAGACTACCACAAGATATCCATTTGATTGGTATAAATCGAATGGCAATAACAAAACACGTTGCAAATTATATCATAATAAGCTAATCTTATTAGCAAATTCAAATTGTTGTGTGAGACTTTGACTGTTGGTTGAGTTGATACATTCATCCTACATAATTCTGAAAAATATATTGTTAGATAATGAAATACTATAATTTTTTAAGTTGTTTTTTCATAATATTGGACTTCAATTTTTTTTGGTACAGGGACCTACCGGTTTTCGAATCCATAGGGGAATCGACTAATCCGGAATCGAGCCGGGTAGGACCACAAGGGCGGCAAAGCTCTCCCTCAAGAGTTTTTAACACTGCTGCATTCCCAGTGCTCGAACACGAGACTACTGGTTAAGCTAGAAGAGACCCAAGTCATCTCATCCAAGCGCTCTTGAGTATTGGACTTCAATTTGAAATGCTTATATGTTACATCTCCTAATCATTTTTTCACACCAATCAAAAAGATTCATTAGGAAATGATTACAAAACCAATACCTGAAATTCAGTAGGTTGCAGTTTTAAGTGACATTTCATTGCTCAAATTTTATGAGTGTAGAACATATTAATATATATCTTCCTTATTTTTTTATTCATCTCTATTAATAATACTACCATTAAAAGACCATACTATTTCATATAAAAATGTTCCACTACCCACGGTGGTCACATGTTAATATGTCCACCGCGTAGGTGGCATGCACTCATTGGTGATGTTAATATGTTTAAAAAAATACATCACCAATGAGTACATGTCACCTACGCGGTGGGCATATTAACATGTGCCCACCGTGGGTAGGTGAGCATTTCTCCTATTTCATAATATAAATATGGACTTTAATCACAAGTGTATATTAGTTTATTCCAGTAAATCTCATCAGGATTTTTGTTTCATGNNTCTGATGGTGGACAACCAGCCCGCCATTGCCCTTGCAAAAAATCCAGTCCTCCATGACCGGAGCAAGCACATCGATACCCGTTTTCACTTCATCCGTGATTGTATCGATGATGGACATATTGTTTTAGAGTCTGTCGAATCCGGACGGCAACTCGCAGACATCCTTACCAAGCCACTCGGCCGTCTTCGGTTCATGGAGCTAAGGACCAAGATTGGAATGGTGGGAAACAAGCAAGAACAGCAGGATTAGGGGAAGAATTGTAAGAAATATAATCTGATGTTTCCTTGTTGTTTCCTTGCAATTTCATTACACTTTCCTTGCAGCTGCAAAGCACTTTCATAGCAACCATTTTAGGCTGATTTTTAGGACTTTTCAACTTAAGTAATTTCTAGGAAAGTCACTAGATAGTTGTTTTTAGTTCTTATAAATAGGGGTGCAGTTTTTGTTTTGTAAACACACAGAAAAACTTAATACTCAATACATTGAGTTGTTCACAATCTTCTTCTTTCATCCTAAAAGTGTTAGTTTGTGCCGGAAGCATTTTTGCTTATCTAAGCAGTGAACGGGCAGGGACTAACAGGATGAATGACGTGTGTAGATGATAATGTCATATTTGTACACGTGTCAATCATTCAACGTAATGGAACACGAAATAGAACATGAAAGTGAACCAGAAAATCTAAACCCGCTCGCCTGATCCGTGGGAGAAGGACTAGCGACTAAAATTAAGAGAATTTGCTCATTATCCAGAGATAGAAAGTCAATCCGAGTCAAATCTGTCGAATCTTAAGGAGCTTGCTGAAAATAAGGACGTCTAATGCTTCATCAACGCCAAGTTTATTCTCCTGATCCAAAAGCATCCATAAAAACGTTAAATGCTAACATAGAGTACAGTTGCAAGTACATTGTCTCACTCCACATGAGAGAGAGAGAGAGAGAGAGAGAGAGAGATTAAAGTTGATTTCGGTAATTACACTGACATTAGCCTACAAATAATAGGA